ATTATCATTGTTGGTATCAGGTGACAATAGCCAATCGAAACATTTCTTGGCAAACATACGCAAATGCAATTCATGTTTCCAAATGACATCGTTCGGTGCAACAAATATCGTGCGCGAGAATTACATGCCAACATTTAAAGTAAAGTGAAAGGCCAAATTTACCATCGTGTAGGATCTCTGATGCCAATGCCAAACACAGATCACAAATGTCTTCAAATGATTTCATGGGGAATACTGATGAGCAAATTGATCAGCGTTGTCATATCAATACGGGCACTAAACGAGAAATCGTCGCTGCAATGCAAACGTTATTTTTGCAACACACCGAATTAGTTCAAATGTATAGAGTTGCACTTGAAAAGATGCCGACTGATGAATACAAAGTCATAGTTAGATCAGACCTGTCGGCCAACATGAAAGACAATACAATGCACCAACAATTGATGAAGTGGCGATCATTATAGTTGGCGAAGAATTTAACTCACTTGATATAATTCTTCATCGCAGAAGTGTTGATGTTCAGCGAGTCTCAGAAACTCATCGCTCATACGTTTGATCGCAATATCCTATTTTATTTTGGGAAGGAGAAGATGGATATCATTTTGGCCTCAAATTGAGAAATTCAAATAAGAAAGACAGTGCCATGAAATACTATTCATATCGATTGATGATTAATGAGTTGGAAATGACCTCTCGGAATCTATCTGCAAACAAACTTTTCGCTCTTGATTTGCAACGTGAAACGCACGTTGATATCGAAGCATTAAATACGGTATATTTTTTCAAATGAATCTTCCGAAATTGGTTCAATTGAAGTTACTATTTTAAATGGAAAATTTAAACTAGGTGATGTACTTTTACCATTCACCCCAATGATTCCAACAGATATGCCATTTGAATTCAAACGCCAACAGTTTCCGATGCGACACGCGTCTACAATGACTATCTACAAAGCACAGGGACAATCGCTACAAGTTTGCGGACTAAATTATGGAAAACCCATACTTCGCCCACGGACAGATGTGTGTGGCCTGCTCTCGCGTCGGAAAATCTTCTGATTTATTCGTGTATATACCAGATGGAAAAACAAGAAAAACTTTGAGTATTTAAAAGCTCTTGAAGAAACATAACATGCAAACACTTTCTTTCCTTGAGTGGCATTGCAACGCATGCCGGGTACTCGCTAGTATTTACTAAATTAAAAGCGGATCTATTTTATTTTTTGCGCATTTAAATTAATTTTATTTCCGTAAAATATTAAAAAATCACTATCATTATTTTTAAGAATCTGAACGTATTTAAATCACTTTGTTTCTTTGGCGTTATGGTCAGCCTAGCTCATTCTTATTACTTACATATATATATATATTAATTGTGTGTGAAGTTAATTCTCTTCGAGAACGTAATAATATATTGCATTCCATTTTTTAAATGTTCCATGTTTTTATTTCTATCGGAAAGTGCATTCCGGCCGCTTTCCAATGTTAGTTAGGATATTCGAGATTTCTGGACCAGTATCCTACCTGGCAGGAGGGCGTAGCAGCAACTGGCAGGAGGGCGTAGCAGCAACCACTTTAGGAAGGACGGAATGTTAAATAAAATATAGGCGATTAGATTTCTGAGCATTCTCCTTGACACATATCTGCTCCAAGAGGCGAGTAGATTCTGACTATTCTCCTTGACACATGTCTTGCTCCAGGAGGCGAGCAGATTTCTGAGCATTCTCTGGGACACATGTCTTGCTCCAGGAGGCGAGCAGATTTCTGAGCATTCTCTGGGACACATGTCTTGCTCCAGGAGGCGAGTCGATCAGTTGCCTATTTTCAACCTGTTTCTTACACTGTCGCTGAATATGATTTTTAAAGCTTTAAAAAATGGATAATAAGACCAAAAACCGCACACAATTCTAAAAGAGAGTGAATCTTTATTGGTGATCACGATTATAAACACGAGCCCTTGAAAGCTCTGACATCGTTTGGTGGACATTGTCATGACGGCACAACTCTCCCATTCGTACAATTAATTACCATCCAATCACAGGGCTGTAGGGGCGTGGTTTCATTGAGCGAGCAGCGCCCCCACGTATCTCATGCTGACCCCCGTGAACAGAAACACTACAGACGCGCGCAGACACAAAATAACTCATAGAGATGACAATACATGTAAGTTGACTTTTAGTTAAAAAATGTTATCAGACAATAGTAAAATTGGTTTTACAGTCTAGTTATGATAGAGCAATTGATAAAACGTCTAAAATTTGTCGTCATTGACGGACACACGCCTTTGAATCTTGTATTTTTTGACGTCTTTAGCCTCGCAGTCGACAATCTTAATCTTCTTCTTGGGGGTGATACCATTGTCCTCAACGTCAATCTCAGCCAGTTTGTCGAGGAACTCCTACAGATACACAACATACAAAAAGGGGATTGGTATTGACATAAATATAGCATTAGATTCGACATATCACATATCATGAGTTGTATCACATAGAACATGGTAAGTGAAACGTTTTTTTTTCTAAAATAAACCAAAAGTGATGCGGGTGAGCAGGGGCGTAGCTAGGGGGGGGGGTGCGTGGGTTGCGGACCGACCTCACCGGGTGACACCAAACCTAGCTACGCTACTGCGGGTGCGACCAAATTTCTGCCCCCCCCCCCCGAGTTCATCTACTGACTTCATTTGCCTGGTGTAGTTTTAGGATGGACAGAAGATGCACCCCCCCCCGAAGATCTTATCAGGGTATAAATATAATGACCAGCTGGTCATTAATTTGCTCTCCCCCCTTAGACGAAAAAGCTCTGCATTTGGCTGAAAATGCCACCCTCCATATAGGATAAAATATGTAGCCCCTCCATATAGGATAAAATATGTAGCCCCTCCATATAGGATAAAATATGTAGCCCCTCCATATAGGATAAAATATGCAGCCCCTCAATATAGGATAAAATATGTAGCCCCTCCATATAGGATAAAATATGTAGCCCCTCCATATAGGATAAAATATGTAGCCCCTCCATATAAGATAAAATATGTAGCCCCTCCGTATAGGATAAAATATGTAGCCCCTCCATATAGGATAAAATATGTAGCCCCTTCATATAGGATAAAATATGTAGCCCCTCCATATAGGATAAAATATGTAGCCCTCCATATAGGATACAATATGTAGCCCCTTCATACAGGATACAATATGTAGTCCCTCCATATAAGATAAAATATGTAGCCCCTCCGTATAGGATAAAATATGTAGCCCCTCCATATAGGATAAAATATGTAGCCCCTCCATATAGGATAAAATATGTAGCCCCTTCATATAGGATAAAATATGTAGCCCCTCCATATAGGATAAAATATGTAGCCCCTCCATATAGGATAAAATATGTAGCCCCTCCATATAGGATATAAAAAAAATCAGAAATATTCATTGCTGGCTAATCTAACCAGGAACAAGCATTGACGTCTACCCCCCCACCCCCCCCCCAACCCTCCTGTGGCTTTGACACCCCCTGATAGATACTCACCAATGAATCTTTGCCCACAACTTGACCGAAGGCGACGTGTAAGTTGTCAAGGAACTGCCAGCTCCTGAAGGTCACAAAGAATTGAGAACCGTTGGTGTTGGGTCCCCTGTTGGCCATGGCGACCGTTCCTTTCTCACTGATGCCGATCTGGAAGTTCTCGTCATTGAAGGTGTCACCGTACATGCTGATACCTGTAAGAAATGCGACGTCATCTAGGCTCATAGTTTTAGGAGATTGTTGGCCTGGTCATGGCAACCAGCCATTATGACGTACTCAAAATTGACCCAATTTAAGTTAAACTTATAGACCATACGAAAAGAAAAGGAAGTTAAGAATTTCTTAATCTCAAAGTATATCACCAATTTTATGGCTAATCTAAAAGTATATTACCTATTGTCTGGCCGATCTCAAAATGTATCACAAATTGTCTGGCTAATCTCAAAGTATATCACCAATCGCCTTGTTAATCTCAAAGTAAATCACCAATTGTCTTGTTAATCTCAAAGTAAATCACCAATTGTCTTGTTAATCTCAAAGTATATCACCAATTGTCTGGTTAATCTCAAAGTATATCACCAATTGTCTGGTTAGGCTCAGCCTACCACTATACGTCTGGTTAATCTCAAGGTATCACCAATGATCTGGTTGATCTGCTTACCTCCTGAACCATCCCCGGTGGTTGTGTCACCGCACTGGAAGTTCAAATCTTTGATCAGTCTGTGACAGTAAGTGTTGGCGTATTTGAGCTCACCCTGAAACACACGCACTCAATCTGTTCAGGTGTGTGTATGTGTAGGTTTGTTTGTGTGTGGGTCTTGGTGTGTGGGTCTTAGTGTGTGGGTCTCAGTAGGTCTGTTAGTGTGCGTGTGGTTGCTCATTAGACTGAAGATTTTGATTTCACCAGACAACATACTTTTCAGCGTCCTGATGTTTTTGTTTAGAGGTTAAAGTTAGGATTGAATGGCAATATGAAATAATGACCACGTATATGACGTCATCATTTACCCGGAGGATCGGTCAGTGTCCAATGATATCAAATTGTTAGATGAATTATGAAGATTTATGTTTGTAAGATTAATTAGTTAGATTTATATGATACAAGCTATATATCAGATAAATGTCAGCTTTATAATACCAAACTACCAGTTGATTGTTTGAGCTAGCTACCATCTCTATAATATAAGATAAGACAAGATAATATTCTTTTATTGATCCAAATAAATGGAAATCAGCTACTAGCTGTATATCAGCTAGCTATCAGCTCTATATCAGCCAGCTGTTATCTCTAAAATATCCCCTAGCTACCAGCTTTATAACATCATCAAGCTACCAGCTTTATGTCAAATAGCTACCATCTGTATAATATCATCTAGCTACCAGATCTATATCATCTAGCTACCAGCTCTATATCATCTAGCTACCAGCTCTAAATCTAGCTATCAGCTCTATATCAGCTAGCTATTATCTCTAAAATATCACCTAGCTACAATTTCTATGATATAATCAGGCTACCAGCTCTATATCAGCTAGCAACCAGCTCTATCATATCATCTAGATACCATCTTATAATATCAGCTAGCTAGCTACAATCTCTATAATATAAGCTAGCTAGCAGCTCTATAATATCATATAGACACCTTCTCTGTAATATCATATGGCTACCTTTTATATAATTCTACCTAGCTACCAGCTCTATAATATCAGCCAGCTACCATCTCTATAATATCAGCTAGCTACCATCTCTATAATATCATTCAGCTAACATCTCTATAATATCATCTAGGTACCAGCTGTATATCATCTAGCCACCAGCTCTATATGAGCTAGCTACCATCTCTATAATAATAGCTCAAACTCACAGATGGACGCTTGACACCATTGCAGATGCTGAAGAAGTTGAGAACCGTCATTGGCACGGTCTCGCCGAAGAGGGCAATGCGGAGTGTGCCGTGAAGGTCACCGGAGGCATCGTAGTTCTTGACCAGAATGTCCAGCGAAACCTCTGTGAGGGGAAGCAGATTATCATGGGATTAGTGATCAGATATGTAGGAGAAGCAGACTATTATAGGATTAGTGATCAGATATGTCTAGATAATGCCCCAGTTAATTCAAAGAATAAAATGAAATGAACAAGTATGCAAATGTTCTGTTACCTTTTGTCGTCATTGTATGCAAATGTCCCGTTACCTTTTGTCGTCATTGTATGCAAATGTTCTGTTACCTTTTGTCTTCATTGTATGCAAATGTTCTGTTACCTTTTGTCGTCATTGTATGCAAATGTTCTGTTACCTTTTGTCATCATTGAATGCAAATGTTCTGTTACCTTTTGTCATCATTGAATGCAAATGTTCTGTTACCTTTTGTCATCATTGAATGCAAATGTTCTGTTACCTTTTGTCATCATTGTATGCAAATGTTCTGTTACCTTTTGTCATCATTGTATGCAAATGTTCTGTTACCTTTTGTCATCATTGAATGCAAATGTTCTGTTACCTTTTGTCATCATTGCATGCAAATGTTCTGTTACCTTTTGTCATCAATGAATGCAAATGTTCTGTTACCTTTTGTCATCATTGTATGCAAATGTTCTGTTACCTTTTGTCATCCTTGTATGCAAATGTTCTGTTACCTTTTGTCATCATTGTATGCAAATGTTCTGTTACCTTTTGTCATCATTGTATGCAAATGTTCTGTTACCTTTTTTCATCATTGTATGCAAATGTTCTGTTACCTTTTGTCATCATTGAATGCAAATGTTCTGTTACCTTTTGTCATCATTGAATGCAAATGTTCTGTTACCTTTTGTCATCATTGAATGCAAATGTTCTGTTACCTTTTGTCATCATTGTATGCAAATGTTCTGTTACCTTTTGTCATCATTGAATTCATATTGAAAATGCCACTAACGTCTGCTCGATGATATCTGATTCATCCCACAATATTTGATTAATTGAATGATTGATTGATAGAATGGTTGATTGAAGGATTGAAAGACCACAAATCACAGCTGGTTTCGAAGTTTACACTTAAACGTTAATGCATCATCCAATCAAATTATCAGCAACGCGCCATGTTAAAACAATGTTAATGTCAAGGACATATGCAAACTGTCATGTCAGGTTTTTTTCCCCCAGAGAAACAAAGTGAGCTGATAGGGTTGTCAAAAACTGGCCAAACACCAACCCTGTGACAGCCCTAGGGACCGATTCCAATAAAACACCAACCCTGTGACGGCCCTAGGGACCAATTCCAATAAAACTCTTACCCTATGACAACCTTACTGATTCCAATAAGTATCGTTTTATAATAGAGCTATAAAGGTGTGCATATCTAATGTGACAGGTTCATTGATGTACATACCTGCTGTGACAGTTTCATTAATTTTGACCGACTGCCATTGGACAGCGTCTTTTTTATCTGAAGCCTCGATGACAGACAACAGGATGGCGGCACAGACAGCCGATAGCACACACGCGTATTTCATGATTTGATCTGTCAATAAATATATAAATGAACAAATTAATATATAAATGAACAAATTAATGAATAAATAAATAAATAAATTGATACATTTCTTTAAGGTTTTCTTAGATTTGCGTTCACAAGTTAGAACTTCAATCTTGGATGTTTACTTTTGCCTGCACACTTGAACAATAAATTTATAAATCAAGTTATAAAGTTTAAAAAAAAATAAAGTTCGTGGTTTCAATGAATTAAGTCGACTCGCTAAATATTAGAGAAGTGTCTCAAATTGAATTGTCCTATGAAAGTGTTGGAGCCGCGTCTCACTTACTTTGGTCCTAGATGCTTGCAGTTCGGGGGACTTGTTGAGAAAGAACGAATTTGAAATCTACTTTTAAAACTCAGGCAAGGGCCACGAGGCAGAAAACGCACGGAGCCAATGAGAGGCCAGGAACCTGTAAGCGGCCAACATGGCAAATCAATGGGACACGTTGTGCGGCCCGACCGTTGGGGCAGCCACATCCAACCGTGAACCGGCTTAGGGCTGGGGAGGTATGGATCGTCCGGTTCAATGTCACGTGTGACCATCTGTCGATAATCTTAAACTTGGGTAAATACTTTGCGTTCAAAAGATTTAAATCTGGGGCTGAATTTTGATAAGGGAAATATGTGGCGGCCCCACGTGTCAAATACACGTTGTCAAACTTTGTGTTGGTCTATATTCTAGTAACGTCGACGTGTGTCAAATGAACGTTGCCAAATCTTGTGTTGGTCTACATTCTACTAACGTAGACGTATTTCAAATATACGTTGACAATCCTTGTGTTGGTCTACATTCTACTAACGTAGACGTATTTCAAATATACGTTGACAATCCTTGTGTTGGTCTATATTCTACTAACATTGACATGAATTGTTCTGTTCTTGACGAAATGAAATGTTGTTTGAGAGTATGAGGGTATTTGAAAAACGACTGAGAACCTCTTAAATATCAATCAAATGATTAGAATCTGAAAACCACAATTTGAGAACCATTGTTAACAATAATGTTGGATTCCAGTATGTTTTAATGAGCACAACAAAACCTTTATGAATTCCCCTATTGGGCTACTGTAGTAAAACATATCTGTTTGAGAACCATTACATTACACGCAGATCTAGGGATTCTGGTGTAATTTATTTGATTATTTGGCGCAGACGTGTTCAAGAAATGTAATCGACTTGCATGGGGGGCTTAATCATAATCTTAATCATAACATCTTGATAATATTCTTAACCACAATCCTTGACTGAGATATTGAAAGTCATCAAGTTAAATTTAATTTCTTTGTTTTAAATATAATTTGAAATGCTGACAAATATAGCGCATGAGTTTGTTCCCAGACATTTTAGTATCCATTCATGTTGGCATGGATCAATTCAAAGTTTATTTAAACATGCAACACAACTGAATTTAAACAATCTGAACATCCATCCTTCATAACAATCACTGATCTGATTTTCCAGCTATCCAACAATCCATTAATATAACTTGTCGTCCACCATACCATCCACAAATTTGATTATCTATCCACTGTACCATGCGCCGATCTTATCAATAGCACTAGCCGGTACTAAAACATGGAATACACATTTAAGAAAAAATGTACTATAATTTTATCAATCAAGATCTAATTGATAGATCAATAGCAACAATTAAACACTTACATTCAATATAAACACATGCATACATGTGCTCATTTAACTATTCAATCATTCAATCATTCGGTATTTCAATCATTCTGCCATTCAATCCTTCAACCATTCTATATTTCAATCATTCGGTATTTCAATCCTTCAATCATTCGATCTTGCAATCATTCGGTCAGCAATCCTTCAATCATTGGGTCATTTAACCTTTCAATCATTTTGTCATTCAGTCGTTTGAACTACTCTGACACAGGGAGATGTATTGATTGATTGTTTTACAATCCATGGATCAATTTACATCAACATTAAAACAAATTTACAATTATCCATCTATATTTCATATTATTCACCTGTCTTATCCACCATCCATCGATCAGTCAATGTATTCCACCAAACTACTATCCTCAAGTTATCGCACATGTCTTTTACACAATCCATGCGAGTCTTCTAGCAACCTTCCTTCATTGTTCACCATCTCTCTATTCCACCACACGTTTGTCTATTCCACCATGTCAAGCATCTGCCCGCTCTGCTTCCAGTTCTAGATGAACTGAATTCTTTCAAGTTGTGGCGCGCCATGGGGGGTATGTTTTGGGCCCCAGCTTAGTTTCGCCCTTGTATTCAAAAGAAACAAATGGCCATCTCTATAGACCAAATTGAAGGGAAACGCCATTTTGTCAACAGACCTGTTTACGCTTACGCCTTCGTCGTGGCAACTACGTTTTTAAGCCTACGACTACGTCACTACGACGACGTCACTACGACGACGTCAATACGACTACGTCAATACGGCGACGTCACTACGACGACGCCACTACGACGACGTCACTACGACTACGTCACTACGACGACGTCACTACAACTACGTCACTACGACGACGCCACTACGACGACGTCACTACGACTACGTCACTACGACGACGTCACTACGACGACGTCACTACGACTACGTCACTACGACGACGTCAATAGGACGACGTCACTACGGCGACGTCACTACGACGACGTCACTACGACGACGTCACTACGACGACGTCACTACGACGACGTCACTACAACTAAGTCACTACGACGACGTCAATACGACGACGTCACTACGACTACGTCACTACGACGACGTCACTAGGACGACGTCACTACGACGACGTCACTACGAC